AAATGGTAAAAAGTGTGGAGTGAAATACTCAGAGACGCTATCAAGTAGTTTCTCAATATCGTCGTCGCCATAAACGAAATCCCCCAATTTAGCCTCCTCCATTTTCTCAATCTCCTTCACCCACAGCCCCAGCCCCGCGTGTATTTTCTGCTTCGTCAGCCTATAATCCCACTGGATGTTCTCCAAGCTGTAAAGCGGAGAATAAGACGAAGATCCCGGTCCCGGATTGCCGGCAACTCGATCGGTGTCCTTTTTGACCGATTTGCCCTTCCTCTGATCCCAGTTATCGTTCATGTCCTCCACAAAAGCCTGGGTCTCGAGATCCATCAGCTCCGTCGGGGAGAAGGAGGAAGTTTGGGGATTTTGATCCGCAACGGGAAGAGAGAGGCTGACATCGGATTCCCATGGGGCGCGTTGTGATTTTCCGGTCAAGTCGTTGGGAAGCCAGGCTGTTTCCCAGGCGTCGTTCCACTCGTGTTCCCCGGTACTGCCCTTTCCGGTGGTTCGATTAGTGGTGAATGAGCAGACGGCAGTGGCGGCCGCCGTGGAGGTAGGGTTTATGTTTTGGTTTTTGAGGGTGGAGGATAGCCTGCGAATCGGCGTCCTCATTCTCTACTGACATATCCCAATGGTTGAGCTTTAGTGAGTATTTTAGGGTATATTGGGTAAAACACTTCAAACAAGTTGATAAGATGATATGCTAACTTATAACTTATTATTAGTTTTTGAGCTCATAGCTTATTACTTATAGATGATAAACTAGTTTATCTGATAAAAGTATTTAATAAAATTAGCTGATAAGCTAGTTGGAGTAAAAATTCAACGAGTTTATTTGAAAAGTTACTCAAAGAAGTTTATGAGATAAGCTCGAGCTTTTTAAAAAACTTTGTCCTATCAGACAAAACTTATTTAAATACATGAAGCTTATAAGCTAACCAAATAAGCTATAAACTAGTTTATTTGTCTATCAAATATAGCCTTAACCTACATGTGATGATGTGGCATGAAAGAGATTCAAAAAATTTAGAAGTCTTTCTACACGTGAAAGCTCTTCTAGACTTGATGAGTCATTTTTTTTCCTTCTATATACTTTTTTTTTTTATTTTTAATTAC